AAATATTCAGTAATACTTAGTTTTTAATTATGGCCTATTGATACCATGCAAACAATTAATTTTAAAAATATAAATAAAAAAAAAAGTTTGTAATAATTACCTTATGATATCCTTCATAATGTCCACTGATTTGTTGACTACTTATATCCCATAATGAAACAGTTTTGTCATCTGAAAAGCTTGCAATATGATGTCCGTCTCTTGTGAAATATGTACGGTGAACAGCACTAAACCAATAAAATTGAACTTTAAAAAGTAAACAAAAAAATTTTAGAATAATAAAATATACTAACGCTTTATGCCCTCTGAACTGTCTCAACATAGACTTCGTATTGACTTCAAATAATCTCACAACAGATTCCTCGCCACCAGCACATAATAACTGACCATCTGAACGAAATGTTGCACCATAAGCAGCTTCTTTAAATTTATTGAGGTTTTTAGTAACTACTTTTGTAACAGGATTATAAACTTGGACCTAAAAATAAATTAAGTTATTTAATTAATGTAAACTTTAAATTGATAATTTATTGAAAGAAAAACTGACTCGAGCAGAACATGAAATTGCAAAGTGATAAGGTGTACGTCGTGAAAAATGTACATAGTCTATGGGACCAAATTCTTTGACCAATACAGGGCTCTAAAAAATAATTAAAATCAACAAAATATAAGAAAGTGTTTAAAAACATTTAATAGGTAAGTACTTACAGTAAGTTTTTTCCAGTAAGAGTCTTCGACAGTATATAATTCACTGGGACGAGCAAACGGTTTCACAAATGATTTTTTAAATGAAGTCATTATTTTTCAATAATATATACTTTCATACTATTAAATTATTTATATAATTATTATACCTAATATTATATGTATGGCTAATAAAAAGTAAGTCTACAAAGAATAATAATTATTAAAACAACAAAAGTATGAACGTCTTATGTCCATGGACCATGAATCATGATAAAGAATTAACGTCGAATTTCGAACACATTTAACATGTGAACGTAGAATAAGAACTACAGACTACCAGACTAGAGTTAATTTTAATAATTTATAGTATTATTATTTATTTATAGTCGAAAATAATACTTTTGCTATTTGCAATTTGCTACAGTTACTGACTACTGAGACACTGAGTACTGTTACTGTTAGTATTTTGAAAATTTAATCACAGAATATAATATGAAATTCCATAACATATTATCAAAATTAAATTAATGTCGGTATGAATTATAACCTTAAAATGTGTAACCAAAAAATGTTGTCATGTTTTTTAATTTTTTGTAAGCATGATTATTATTTTGTGATTATAGATAAAATAAATTGTTTTGGACGTACATCGCTCAAACAAAATATTGTTTATTTGTATTGTCCGGCGTATTATATAGGCAAAATAGGTACATTCCTGCAGTGTTCAATATTGTCCAAAATTACATCTTAAGGGGCCTCTACACCAGCCCGTTTTTGATTGAAAATAACACATTCTAAATTTAACCATACTCTAGAATGCGTCATCCGACATAAGTTTTGAAAACGGATTTAGATTTTTCAATACTTGCTTGATGCATCGGTCGGAATAAATTTTTAATTTTTATTGTCAATGTTATTTTTTAAACGATTACAAAACTTAAAAAATTGTAACTTTTCAAGTCAAAATAATTAAATAATTATAAATATTTTTTAAATTGTATCACGAGCGATGCCTTGGAAATGTTATTAAGAATTTATAAGTTTTTTCAAAACTTAAATCGGAGTATTTATAAGAGCGTACTGTTAAAAGTAGAATCGTGTCTTTAGTTCGAAATTTTTCGAACAAGCTGTTTGACATGTGCCTGCGAGTGCGTAAAGTGACCCCGCACACCATTCTCAACCATCGCGTCGTTGTCACCCGACGCGGCACAAGCTAACCGACTTACTAACACTAAATACTAATGTCCATTTACGAGTATACAATTACTAACATATCCACAACAGTAGTTTAGAGATTGCCTATATAATATATAACTATGTCATTGTTGAGACCCCGAAAATACACTCCGTTCGCTGAGAGAAAGTGGTTGAACGTTGAACACTTGCACATGGTGCCGTAAGCCCGTAACTACGGTGGAGAGAGGGCTTCATATCCCCTTTGTAGACTAAATTGTATACACAATACAACATGTATATTAAATATATAATATAATAATATGAATATAATAAATTAATAATATGTGTATAGCCGTATAGGTACATATCGATGGCGTAGCGCACAAGTGTGATAAGTGACATTTTCGTAATTGTTCAGGAGAACGATTTTTAAGTTTGAGATGTCATAACAAATTCAAAAATGTAACGAACTGTACGACGTCTATCGGAGTAAATAATGAACTATTCACTTACAACGTTTGGGCATAATGTGCAGAATTGTATGATTAAATTGATTATGCACTTAACTCATTTTTCAAAAAAATGTCACTTATCACACTTGTGCGCTACGCCATCGATATAATGTCTATTAAAATTTGTATATCCCCCCTTGAAAAAATCCTATATACACTACTATTTGCACCCAATCCAAATCACGTCGTTCCACTCCTCAACCATTCACGGATCCAGAGCAGATCTGGGGGGCAGTGGCGGCCTGGGTTCATTTTTTTTGGTCGGCTGGAATTTAAAAAGGCCCTGACCAATAAGACTAATAGAAAATGTGCAAATGCAAATGGCTATGTATGGGCCTTTTTACAGTTTTACATTTTTAAAGATACCTAATCATTTTGAAGTTCTACTACCCCCACCTCTTCCAAAAAAATGTATATGTAACTATTTTTGTAAGTACCTTATTTATGTTTCAATTAACTTTACCCTTTTGGTATTATAAAAACAAATAACAAAATATCTATAATGTTACCTATTCAACATTGCTGTTGATGCATATACTATAATATTAATAGGTATTTGTATCATTTTCATTAACTATCGTTAGGTATAGCTCTTGCCTGTTGCATGAAGTCTACTAGTCTACACACCGAATACTTCATATTATAATATATGAGGACCTGGTTAATATTATTCATATTAATTGTGTGTGCTAAACAACTTTTTAGTGTCTACCACCGCATTATTATATAATATTTAATATTCAAATAAATAATACAGAATATTCAATGTTTTAATACATTTTAATAAATAATAATTAATAAATGATCAAATAAGTCTGTAAGTAATTGTAAGTAAATGTTTAATATCATTATCAACTAGTTAAAATAAAATGAAAAAAAAAATGGACTATAAATAATAAATAAAATTAGTTAACAAACTTAGTTATTTATGAACATTTAAAATAATATAATCTCAATCGGGTAATGGCTGTAAGGGCCCATTTAGCCGAGGGCCCAGTTGGCGATCGCCGACTCGCCGACCTGGCCAGGCCGCCACTGCTGGGGGGGGGGGAGCAACAATTTTTTTACAACACAAATCCAATTATAATAAAATATTATACTTAATTCTTAATTTAAAAATGTTGTCATAATTAGTAGGTATAGGTAATCATCAATCAATGTGATAAATAAATTATTTGATTATTTAATATATAAAGCGACAATGTGAAAAGAAGTTTAGATTTTGTTTATTTGTTATATAATATTTATGTTTATAAAAAAATATGTCTGGGGGGGCTGGGCCCCTAAGCCCCCATCCCTGGATCCGTCCCTGTCCTCAACTACTCAAAACCACACACCTATTGGTTCCAATCGTATGCTCGAAGTAACCACATTTTCTTAGCAAAAAGGGTATAGTTGTTTGATAAATATTATATCCAATATTTTATGCACAATCAAATACTAGAATATCTGAGCACAACGAAAATCGATAAAACAACGAGGTCTTCGTCCATCAAAAATGTTTAAAGTAAAACAAGGTGTACAAAAAATCATTATAGTAATTCAAAAATACTATTTAAAAGTCAAACAAAGCAGAGAATAGACCATTTTTTTATGATTAATAGGTAGTAAACTAGACGTATTCTTTGTCGCCTGTTAAGAATAACTTATTACTTATCATTTATCAATAACCTACTCAATGAGGACACGTTATTCTGTTCCTGTACTATAGTCTATAAGGCAGGGATGACCAATCTTTTTCCATATTGTATTATTGTGCCAAATAAAAAATTGAGATTGTATGTTGTAGTTTGTAGTATAATATTCATCATAATATAACAAAACTATATAGCAGTTACTACTTTCCCAGTTTTATAGACTGTAGGTTAAACCAAAAAAAGGTGGATACCGCCCTACTGTACAGTATGTTTCAACTTACAAGTAGGCTACTGTAAATTGTAATAAATGGTGTTAAATTTAATTCAATGATATAATATCATTATACAGTGTATACGAAAAACGAATCTGAGGAGAGACGGTGTGTGCCCTGTGGTCTGTCGACCAGCTATTCAGCTCCCAGCCTCCCAAATTTAATTAAACTATTCTATATAATATTCTGTAATATTATAGTTATTATGGAGGGAAAGAGCAGCTGACGATGACTAGAATTGATAATAACGGTAATGATAAACGGTAACATATTGTGGGCCGAGTGAATTGTGAATCGTGAATCGTGATTGTGATTAACTCTATAGTGTATTTCAAAATGTAATAATATTTTTAACTATAATAATAATAATTAATATATTGTATAAGTAATTTAACTTTTAAGCAGCATATTTGATTTTCTCTGTTCGATAATTTAAGTCAACAACTATATAACTTATAACAATTGAAAATAAATTTACAAATTTAAACTTTAGTGAAAAAAAATTGTATTCATCAGTAAATCATTAAATTGATTATTAAGAATATTATTTCAGTTTCTGTTGTAGGATGAATATTTTAATTTCAATATTTTGTAAATCAAGAATACTATTTACCCTAGAATAGTTGGTACTCTAAAAATTGATTATTTTAATGATTTGTTAATGTAATAAAGAAAGTTATTTCGGGAAATATTTAGCATTTAAAAATATATTCGTAATGGCTGAAAAAGCTGCTCATCATACAACAACAATTATAAGTCGACCTTCAATTTTTGAAGTAATCGCACAAGAAAATCTATCGTCAACAATTTATCCAGCATTAAAAAAAATTGTTCACGTGAGTTCTATTTATGTCTTAAAGAATTGTATACCTAATCACATTTTACTTTAATATTTGTCTAGTATATTATTAATAAAAATCCTGGACAATTGGAATGGCTAGACAAATATTTTGATGAAGTATTTCTAGCACTTAATACTGTATGCCAGTATCAATATTTGAAGAAATATGGTAAGAAAATCCTTTATAACGGTAACACAATATTATTCTTTAGTTATAAATTATAATACTGTGTGTTTTAGGAGGAACATTCTCTGAAAACTTTTATGATTTAACCAGAGTTTCTAGTAGAACCAATTCTACACCTGACAATAATCAGTTGTACTTGGGTTTAGCCATAGTGGTTTGTGTACCTTATCTACGAAATAAATGCAATATGTATATCGATAAATTACAAATGAAGTATAAATTGCAGCTAAAACATGTAATTAAATATTATTTATTTATATAATTAATTTAATTGGATTATTAGTCTTGAGTCTTGACTGACTGTTGCACAACAAAAACTGGTCGGCAAAGTATGGTTCTTAACTTGAATAGAATATTTTTATTTTTATTTTAATTAGGTATGTAAATATTAGATAACGTAACATGTAGGTATTAAAAAATAATAATATTAAAAATAATTAATATAGTTAAAAGAAAAAATAATATCTATATGTTTTATAATTTTATATTTGTATTAAAAATAATTTTAACTTTGAATTACACTTAGCCATTACTAACAATAGTAATAGTTACTTTAAAAGTCTGGAAATGTTAATAATTTAATATAATTCGAACCATTACAGAATCCATTTGATACGATTTATAAGTATGTGATGCTGTCATAGTTTATTGAATCATTTATATTTTATACTAATACATTTATTTTTATTTTTTAGAAAGTATTTATAACATTAAATAAAATTGTGCATACATGTTGGGAAGCATTACGTTTAACATACTATATAAAATATATTAATGGATCCAGTCAATCACATTCTCCTTTATTAACTATGGCAGGACTGGCATTAACTTATAAGAATATTGAATCTTCAAATAATGAAACGCTTGCTCAACTAAGGTAAATTAAATGGGAACTTAATATTTTGATAGGTACGACAAATAAAAATTAGTTTCTATACTCTGTCTCATATAAGAGTAACCGGAAGCCACAACCAATTTTTGTCTAGATCTCAGACCCAACCTGAGAGGTAATTGAGAATTAAATGATTGGTTGCGGCCAGGAAAAATCACTACCATTTTTGTTTTTACCTTAGAAAGTAAGAAAACACAAGCTAGGTGGCTGTTCAGTTGTTGGAGTAATAAAATAATGCTCTCAATAGTGTAACCACCGCAAAATATATGAGACAAAGTATATTTACAGTTTAATATTATTTTTATTTTCTTGTATTTTGCATATTATGTATATTTTGATAATAAATTTACTAATTTTCAGTATTAAAGAATCAATTAAAAATTATTTATTGTATGGATTATCTCATTCCTTGGAGTTAGGTGCATTTTTTATGCAGTTTTTAAATTGGTGGCACTCTGAAAATTTACAATCAAAATTTATTGCCTACCCTATACCTAATCCTCCGAAGGTATGTTTAACAATAATCTAATTTATTAGTTATTACTTATTACTATGCTTATGATATAAACAACATCCAGTTTTGATTTGGGTCCTCGCAAGTTACTTATCTACCCATATTATCAATAAAATTATATTGACTTATGGTATGCATGACATGTGCCCAGAGCCGTGTCAAGCAATTCAGCGCCCTTTCCCTACAATTTGGGCTCCAAGTAGCATATTAAGCTCAAATAACGACGCCCCTTACTTTTACAAAACTATGGCGCCCGGGGGGCAATTGCCCCCTTTGCCCCCCCCCCCCTTAACACGGCTCTGCATGTGCCTACTAAAACTGAAAATATCTGACCATCATAAGGTTACGATAGTACCATGTTGCTTATATCATGGCTATATTTCATAGACCTATTAATATAGGTTAATAGGCCTATAGTATACTTTGTGTTGAATTAATAATAATAAGATTAAATGAAAAATTACAGGAAAATGATATGTATATTTCAGTCAGAAACACTAATAAGTGTCCTATATGTGAAAATGAAAGAAAAATGCCAACTGCACTTACTGTATCCGGGTATGTTATTGTAATATTCTTTATTTAAATACATTTTAATACAGGACGTATGAAAAATTCAGTTACTGGATCCGGCAGGACACAAAATAATTTTCGTAACTGGTTACCGGTTTTAGGGGCTTATATAATTAGTGTAACCGGTTACCAAAATGTTCTCTAAAAATGTTAGTTTTACTTTAATTTACACAAAACAAATATTCACTTTATAAAATGGTTCAGGACAAGCTAAATTAAAAAATAAATACCTATAATTTTATATTTTATCATTTGAAGATATAATAAATATGAATTTAAATTAAATTAGTAAATTATCCATAACCATCGATTGAAAAGTAGTTCATGGACAAGTGTTAATCAAGCGGTGCCAATTACAATAAAATAAATTAAATAATAATTATCTAATATGTTCTATAATAATTAGGGCTGGGCCGATTTGCAAACCGATATCGATTAAAATGTCTATACACAATATACTATACTGTCTATACACAATATACTATACTGTCTATACATAAATACTTATATATTGTTATGTGTTTAATTGGTTATGGACTATTTGGCTGAATATTAATATATAAATTAAATTAATTATGGTCTTATTAACTAGTTTTTAAATTGAATGTCATTTTTATAAATAAAATCTTGATTTTTAAAAATTTATTTTTTGAATGATTGTTCATATTATAACCAAAAAATATAAAAAGTATATTTTTACAGTTTTCATTTAAGAATATTTTGAGTTAAAAGTTGGACAAAATTAGATGTTTAAACAAAGAATAATTTGTTGTAGTTAAAAATATGATTTGTGAAACTGATGACAGAATTTGTTTGCTCAGATTCATTTTTTCGTATACAGTGATTTTATATAATTTACTTCAAATGTATCACATCCATTATACTATTATAGTGACCTACACGGGCTACAAGACACCTAATGTACATAAAAGCGGTACTGCCCACCTTTTAAACAATACTATTGTCAAAGCTGAGCAAGTTATTCATTTTTTTTCAACTAGTTGAAGTTAAGTTACTTTAATAAAAAAACTAACTAAGTTAGAATGTAAGTTAGTTTCTGAAACTGTCCAAATTTCTAACTTAGTTAGAAGTTAATTTGGTGAAAATTGTAACTTAAGTTAGAGAAGAAGTTAGTTTATTTTTATAGATTAAAAAACATTTTTGTTTAAATGCAAATAATAAATTATCTAACTTAAATTATTGATTAAAATTGAAAAATTTAATTCAACACCTAGTAATTTGATCAAAGTTCTAATTAGGTAAGTAATAATTTCAATTAAGGGGATTGGAAGCGGCGATTTTCTGTCTTTATCTAACACACGTGGAACATAGGATTATAGACGTGTTCTATGTCCAACGTACCGATTAATCTAATGAAGAGATAAGAATTCTGAAAACAGATTTGAATTTGTCGTCAAGTCTACTTGAGATCGACTTTCCCACATTTTTGATATTGTCCCACCAAAATCATAAAAATGATATATTATAAAAAGTACTTAAAAAATTTACAAATTTCAACTTTTGGAGAAGTTTAAATCAAAAAATCAAAAATGTGGGAAAGTCGATCTCAAGTAGACTTGACGACAAATTCAAATCTGTTTTCAGAATTCTTATCGCTTCATTAGATTAATCGGTACGTTGGACATAGAACACGTCTATAATCCTATGTTCCACGTGTGTTAGATAAAGACAGAAAATCGCCGCTTCCAATCCCCTTAAGGGTTTCGGTGGCGGCGTATATTTAAGGAGTTCAGTATAGGCAATATTTATAGTGCGTGCGTGTGTGACTTGAGACTGTGTGTGTAGTAAATGATTATTAGTGTGTGTACGTGTCCCCGCACCGTACCATGTTTACCTACTCCACTGCTTATCTGCTAATTCACAATAACTGTAAACAACACTATATAGTTATACGCAATAATAATAATAACGTATATAATAACAATTCCCGCATTCGCTGTCTTCTAAATTATATATTTTGATTATTCAACGTCCGTGTCCCATGATATTAGTATATAACACATTTCTTTACACATCAACATTTTATTATTTACTTAAAAAACCACCATAGTTTCAATTGTAATAATTTGGAAAATGTATTTATTATAAAAATAAGAGTTTACTATAAGGTACTAAGGATTAGGTATTAAAAAAACACACGCTTTAGGTATTAATTTGCCGTGTATATTAAAATACAAACTTTTATAAGTATATTATATTATGGTTCCGGTAAACCAGATCTTATAGGCAATCCTCTGTCAAACCTCGAGTCAATGATTTCTGGCACCAAAGATTCCATAAAAAATTTTGTAGTTTGAGGTTCAATATTATTCTTCCAAAACTCCTCATCCCGATATATTTTATCAACAACAAAACCTATTAAAAAATATCTTTTTTATATGTTGATTTTAAATAAAAATTAATGTTAAAACATTATTTACCTTTGGGCGTCCAAACTACAAAATAACACAAGGTTCGTTGTGTAATATTTAACTGTCCTTGAACTTGATAATAATAACAATTATTTTTTTTTAATATTAATTTCCCATTATTGAAAATCAAATATTTTAGTTTTTTATTATGTACAGCCTCTTCTGGCGTATACTCCTTTATACTTTGAGGACACTTAATTTCTATAATTGAGTCTTTGCCAATCAATCCATCGGGACTCGCCGCTAGATAATAAAGTGTCCTATGTATAAATAACCCTGCTGGTTCAATCTTTTTACTATATTGTTTTTCAAAATCTCTTTTAGCCATAGGTTCGTTTTCAATGCCATACCTATATAGTGTAAATAAAATTAAATTTACCTAATGAAACTATCAGAGTACTTATGTAGTATGCTAGATTACTATTAAACAAACCGAGTAGCAGAGTTTCCTTGGAAAATATCATACAGAATGCTCTTGACAGTGTTTGCTCGAGAAGTGCTTGCTCTAAGCTTACACACTTTTCCAAAATTGGAAGCTGTGAGGCGTGACTTTCTATATTTTTGCCATAATGTATTATTTTGTTGGCCTACAGTTTTTCTCTCCACTTCTTCTATTTCGTGAATAGATAGTTTTAAATTATTTAAGAATTTGTTTTCCTCTCTTAAATATTCATCTTTTGACATATCAATTATTGCACATCCTAATTCCTCTACAGCCCCATAATGCTCATCAGGTCCGTCAACAGTTTTTGACCTCTTTGGGAAGGTTCTTATAATAAAAAAAAAATCAGTTATATATATTATATTATTTTTTCCTAGACAGTAAAAAGGTTAAAATGCATTTTGATATTACTAATTTATTATTCATTCACTGCATAGTTAAAAAAATAAAATATTATTATTTTTATATTATACATAGTAGGTACCTACATTATAGGTTTAACCTCCCCCTCTATTTTTATTCATAGAAAGTAAACATTTTATTATAATAAAATTTTAATTTTTAACTATTAAATAATACCTTTCGAAAATTAAACGCCGGCCTTTTAATTTTTCTTTCGATTTCTGTACTTTATTTATATATTGTTTTGTGAATAATCCAGGGCTTGTATTCGTTATTTTTTTATGTAAATTACTAATATATTTTGGTCCAAAATTATATGATGTTACTGCTGAATAACACCTTGCACCGTATGATCCTAAAAATTGTATAGGTTGGTTTCAATTAAACATAAACGAAAATAAAATTTTTTGATTTACAAGTATACGTAATAATTATGTACCTCTAGAAGAAAAATTGACTCGCTTTCCACCTACATACTTGGCAACTACACTATTAAAGCCTTCTACTGCATTATTATTTACGTTGTATATGAGGCTTTGAGCATGATGAGCAACGATATTACTTGCTCCTAAAATAACCTTAAATAAACCACAATTGTCCATTTGAGGAACTAAATTTACCTCGCCTTCTTTAAGACCGGTACAAAAGTAACTATATATACATAATTTTAAATAATTTCAGATAAACAACAATATCATTTAATTTATTATAAATCATCATACTTGGCACAATTAGAATGATCTCCAAATACGTGGTATGGGCTGTTTAATATATCTTCTTTCAAAAGTTCAACTTTTTCATTATGATGCAACGTCATATTTTTCCTAAAATCTATTGCCTTGGTAATTGCACACCTATTTGAAAATGTATGCGTTTATGATTTTTGCTAATAATTTTTAATCACACCAATCTAAATTACATGCGAGCATTAATATTATATAATATGTATAAACGTACCGCAATTTTAGTCGTTTATCCTTTAATACTTTCCGAAGAAATCCAGGTACAACAGTTCCCGAAGAACTTTTTCGACGACTGCCAATATCAACGATTCGATTTAAATAGTTTCTGAGAATGTGATTCATACATTCAATTTTTTTTATAAAAACATCACGTCCATACGGTTTTGCCAGAAATAATTTCTTGGTTACACTCGAATCACCATCTCCTATAAGCTTATCATATATTATATTATGCATTGAAATGCTTTGACGAAATCCCTCCACAATAATATCAGCTTCCATGGCCGTAGAAGTCCCATCCCAATTTTTGAAGCATGTGTGAGCTGAAGCAGTACTTCCGTTTAATTTGGCCTTATCACAGATCGAACAATATTTATTACGCACCCCCATATACAGAACTTTTTTTGTTTTATAACCTATAATTGATGCCTGTTTAGATTATAAAAATAAATAATAATAAAAAACTTATAATCTATACATAAATATATAAAATAAAAACTTACCACGCCGGACAGTGCATTATAACCACTTTTGTATGATCTTTTCGACCATGCACCGTCAGCTATCACAGTTATAAGTGGTACTCCGCTTTCATTTACATTACCTTCTTTCTTAGCTATTTCAGTTTCCTCAATACCTGCTAGTGTCATTGCTTCTATAGCCGTGACTTCAGTATGATTTGATATATCTAAGTGAATTTTTTGGTATGTCATGTTTGACATACTTGGCATATTTAAAAAAGCGGCCATGGTATCTAATTGGGTAAATCCTTGCCCTGTGTTTATAGTTGCCATTACAATAGCAGTGTTAACAGATAATGAATTGTCGGTAGATTTAGGCTCATTAGTTATAATGTCGATTTTATTGCATAAATCACACTTGAAAATAAATTCCGAAAAAAAACCATTTTTCCTTTCATTTATAAGGTTTATATTTTGGAATGTACAACCGAAAGGACTGTGTTTGATATTCTTTATTGAATTAAATAAGTGTTTAATGTCCACAAGTCGTCGACCTTGGCAATTGTACCTTGGGAAAAAAAATAAAAGGTAGAAACAATTTTTCGAGTTACAGCAAAATAAAATTATCGATTTTGTCAAAAACTGGTTTTACATAAGAATTCCCGTTTTTCCGTCAATTTTTTAGGTTTTTCCTGGCGCTATTGAAAACTACTGGGAATTTAATTTATAACCTCTATAGTGCACCAACGACTTTCCTATCATTTATCATTTATTACTGGTAAAAATGTTGTCCTCAGACCCCCCCCCCCCCAAAAAAAAAACATAAAAACACATCATTGTAAAATCAATACATTCATCACTTCGTTCAGAATCCAAAAAAATTAAAATTTATAAAATGTATTTACTTACTCTAATTGTATTTTAGATTCTGAGTGAAAGGATGAATGTATTGATTTTACAATGATGTGTGTTTTTTTTTTTATTTATTTATTTATTTTTTTTTTGTGTCTGTGTACACGATAAGTAGTCGAAATAATGCTTCGATTTTCGACTTCAGTATCTTGTTCGATTGGAAAGTGAATATCGTTGGTGCATTGGGGAGGTCAAAATTTAAAATTCCCAGTACTTTTCAAAAGCGCCAAGAAAAACAAAAGAAAAATTAAGGAAAAACGGGAATTTTTACGCACAATCGATTTTTCAGAAAATTGAATTTGGTTTTTGGTGTAACTTTAAAACGAATTAACTAGGTATTTTAAAACTTCCGACCGTCATAAACATGGCAATTTTGAAGATATCAACAAACTGTAAAGATCAAAGTTGTTCAGAAAAAATAAAGAAATCGAAATCCGGTCTCCAAAATAGTGGTTGCTATTTAAGAAATTTTTATTTTACTGCGCATGCGCTGATAAAAAAAAATTAAAAATTTGAATTCATTAAAAAAATATGTATTTATAAGTCCTATATGCAGTATAAAAACCCCGAATCAAATTCAAGGTCATACGATCGAAATATTTCCTGTTACCTTTAAAATTGAACACACGGTATATGTATGCCAACTTAAAATATTAATTAAAATTAAAATATTAATTTTGTAATGAAAAAAATAATAATAATAATAATAATAATAACTAGTTAGTTTTTTTTCTAACAAGTTAGATTAGGCTATTTTATACATTAAATTCAACTAGTTAAGTTACTATGTTAATATGAATTAAAACTAAGTAGTTAAGTTAGAAAGTTACTTAAAAAGTAACTTTCTAACTAGTTAGTGCCCAGCTTTGACTATTGTGTATAAATAATAATTTAGGCATTTTTACAGGATATTTAGTAGCTACTTACACAAAACATAAAATAATATTAGAATCATTATAAGTAAACATTAATAAAATAATAGTTTATCAATTTTAATTACTACCAATACAATATGTGTACCACCATATTGCCTTCTGCATACCAAAGTTAGAGAACCGCTGCTCTATAGTATACTAGACAGTATAGCCAAGGTATTGGTAATATTTATTTGTCCATTGAAAAGTTATAATTTATTGTTCCATTTTTTCAATTATTTTTTAATGTTGTTTTATGATTTTTGTCTAAATTTTAAATTGTTGTGCTTAGGTTTGTATACTGTTACAAGTGCTTACATAAACATCTCGTGGGAGTAAATTCTAGATGTCCAGTTACTAAATTACCAGCATCAATGCAGGATATGATAAGAATTTATACAGATAATTAAACATTACATAGTAATTATAAGTGAATGGTAATTGGTGTTTTATTTTATTTGAAATTTGCTTTGTTTATCAAATAAACATACATATTAATATTTGAATGTTTTGAATTGCAATATAATATAGGCGTCAAAGTATTCAATATATTTTCTACCAAATCATTGAAATCCAAACTAACTTACACTCAATGTTGGGTAGTTACATAACGTAAACTACTTTATGTAGAAATTACCTTTGCAGTAACGCTGTAGTCATTTTATTGTTTTACTTTATTAAAATAAATAATGAATGTAGAATATATGACAAAATCTAGGGACTAGAATATTTGGGAAAAATTAAAAAAATTAAATTTATTACAATTTCAAGTTTTAGATTATAATCAAGAATATTATTATTGAAGATCCCATGAATTAATACTTGTTTGTACATGTATAACATTAAGTCATTAACAATATACAACATCAATGTTATACCTATACTGCTATACTAACTCCACCTATATCCACTCCCACTCAGTTCCTAAGAGGTGCCCTTATACTGATTTAGTCCCTCTACACAGCTAATTCATACAGAAATTGTGGACTCTGCATTGTGAAAACATCCCAGAGTCCTAGACTTATGGATATAGAACTACAGTATTAAAAAACACTCTGACTCGAGTTTGGTTTCAATCTCTAAAGATCAGACGAGCTGTCATAACCAGATGACGCACTGGTGACTAGTCATAACCTGCTACCACACTACACTACTCCTTAAAATTGGGACTCAATAATAGCTTGTATGGTTCAGGGTTCCTTACCTAACCGTGGTGGGGCATATTGCAAATTTCAACATTTGCTTCTCAATTGTCCATCTCTATCACACCATAGATCTCAATTTAATATCATCCACTCTTGGTATCAATCTTTTTTTTATTAATAAGCTTTCAGCCAATAATATAACTATAATTAAGCATAATATCACACTTATTACACACTTACGACATATCAAATTTTTGTTCGCTAGTTTTAAAAGGATGCTGTCAGTTTTGATATTAGAGTGAATTGACCTATTATCAAACTTTTTAGAAAAGGAACATAAGTTGTAAATTTTTAATGCCCTACTTTTCGAATGAAAAAGTAACATAACATGATAAAAATTGTCATATAACTTGAATGTAATTTAAATAAAAAATATTTAATATAACAAGAGACAAATAAATGTAATAATTTTCAAAATTAATTTACCAAACACTACCTAAACTATGCTTAAACCAATTCAATGTTAACAATAAAAATTTGTAATACCCTATGATGCTTAATTATTAATGTAAATAAAAACTTTTTTATAAACATATAATGTATTTTATTAATTTTATTAACAAATACATGATTTTTATTTGTCTTTCTTAATAATCTTAGATTTATAAAAAATTATTTTAATAATATTTTATTATCCAGATGTTGAAATTTCATCCACATAATTAGTTGTATTTCAAAAGGAACTTTTTAATATGTTCAATCTGAAAATTAGTAAAGAAAAATGAATATACTATTAAACATTATTATAATAAACTTAGAATAAACTGTCAAAGATGTTTGATGTTTTCTTTAAACATAGAATGGAAAAACTAACTGAAATCAACAATTTAATAAAATGTATAATATTTTATTTAATATATTTTAAACATTTTGCCACAAAATAATATTATACCATTGGTATATAAAATAATTAAATAAATACTAGCCATTAACATTAAAGCCAGGCTCTTCTTCTCCTTCACTGTCTCCTGACATTTCATCTGCATTTGGTGCTAGATAAATATCGGAAATCTCACGACCGGCACTTAGTGAGGTGAATAAAGGTACAAGTTCTCCTTCCCCACTACTAACTGCTAAATCGTCCAATTTTTTGTTCAGTTGAGAAATTTCAGTCTGCAATTTTTCTTTACGCAATTTATTCCATTCGACACGATATTCCCTTAATATTGTAAAAACTATTAATATTTTAATGTTTTAATTGAACCAAACAAAATATTACTTTTGAAATTCGTCAGCTGCTGCATCAACCATTTTAAAAAATTCATCAAAATTATGGCCCGTCAATGATGATACTGGAACACATTTTAGTTCATTATAAAATTCATCTAAAGTTAATGCCATAGTACGAGTCAAATTCGACATATATGATGATTCATTTTCTACAGCATCACAAAATGCTTCAAAATCATGCATCCATTCAATTGCATAAGTTGGGTCTACAATATCACTCTAAATGTACAAATAAGTTGAAGAAATTATATTATTTTTAATTATTCGTATCACAATTTATTACTTAAACCTTCATGGTAATATTTTAGGGCGAGCGGGAATTGGGCCACAATTAACATTTTTTCAAAAGGGGCCACTATAGATTTACATTTATAACAGGTAAACTCGATGATTAAGCCATTATTAAATTTAAATTTTTAATATAATGTGTAGTTACAATGCCCAACACCACTAACACTGCAGTGTACACAAAACTTTACTCAAAGCGTGCCTTATCCAAAGGTAAAATAATATAGAATTAACAGGAGCTACCATAAAATTAAATGGATAAAAATAGCCAAAAGCGTAATTTACAAAGAATATAAAACAATGGTACAAATGCCGTCAAGTCTTATCATTCTCATTTCAAAAATAATTTCTTTATTATGTCACATCCTAATATTCATAAATTTTAATGTTTTATTGGGAGTTTAATCAGAAGTTTGTATTAAAATTAAAAGCGTAGGAACACTGAACATTAAAAGCCAGGTAACAAACTTTAATTAAATAAAAGAAAAAATTATATTCTTAATAAAATTAATAAATACGAAAAAGGAAAAAAAAGAGATTTGAATTTGTAAAATGTGTATCAGATTATTTAAAACAATAATCGTATTTTTCTGCATTAGAAAAAAAAAATTATAATTATTTAACTAATTTTATATTAAATGTTTAAAATCTATATATTATGACATTATTTAAAATGATAATCGTATATTTATGAATTACAAAATAAAAATTTTATATATATATATATTATAAAAATTTTGTGTTACGTGTTTATTCGGGATAAACTCTGAAACTACTGGACAGATCTTGATGAAATTTTTACACTGTGTGTAATTTGGTCCAACTTAAAAGATAGGCTAATTTAAAAAGGGAGAGCTAGTTAGTTAATAAATATTATATATTTGTATATTTTTATGTACACGTATTTTGGGGCCCTATCTCTGGGTAGAAAAAATGTTAACAAATATTGTATATTATGAAGCAGGTAGATAAGATGTGGCCCAAATACCGATCCCCCCATATTTTATACTAGACTTTTATTATGGTTTTATAAGGATGAGATCAATTAAACTAATGTATAAAAGGTTATAAATTATAATTAGAGGTGAGTCAAACTGTTGGAAGTACGAAAAGTTGAAATCTAGGTATTCAGTTTAAGTTTAAAAGTCAAACCTAGTTTTAAAAAAATCAAACTAAAATCAACAAAAAGTTTGAAAATCTATAATTAATTGGAACTCCAAAAAATTTTGAACCCGTCAAACATTTGTACAGATTTGCTCAGCGCTCTTAACATGCTGAAGTATAACTTGCATTCAAGCACCCTAGCAATTAAAATGAGGTTCATTGAAAAAGCCAACAAGAACATAGTTTATATGGACACCAGGCCATTGTGGAATAGATAGCAATGGGAAAGCTGACAAAGTAGCTCGTGAAACAGTTAATAACCCTTTGACTGAAATACGCACCTTTACCTCACTCATTGACGTACATAAGAATGTCAGCACCAGCTATTGTACTAATTTATGGGAATCCGAATGGTGGCATATACCTCATAACAAATCCCATACAACAAATCGCAAAGATAAAGTAGCAAGCTAATAACGCAGTAGTTAATGCTGTACCATGAAAAAAAAAAAATATAAAAGAAGATTGATTTGTTATTAAATTCTAAAGTTTGGTTCGGTGTTAAATGAAATGTTTGATACACTGGGTTTGGTTTAAGTTTGACGTAAAAATAAATTGTTTGTTTCATCATATTATGTTTGACCACATTTTTCAGTTTGACCCAACTCAAATTATAATGTATAAGTTTAGTTCAGATTTGAACCTTTTAGTTTTAATGATTTATGTTCCCTGACCTATAGAAGAAAAATAAAAAGTTTAGTCTAAAAAAATTGAGAATAGCGTCTCAGCATAGATTTTTTTGCCAAGTAATTATTATTTCATTAAATAAATATAAATGAATAAAGTAATTTTTAAACAAACCTTGTTTAAAACTACAATAAATGGAAGTTTGGTTTTATATAACACAGAACACGCATATAACATGTTTGACATAAATGTTATTGGACTAGTACTTCTTTCTAGATCCATAACATAAACTACAACTGTTGGGAATGTTGATGCAAGACTTTCAGTAAGTATTTGACCTGATGCTGACCATGTAAAAACTTCAATTTGTCCAGGTGTGTCTATAACAGCTATATCATGACTACTTTCAGTATTTACTTTTCCTAGAAGGTCCATTAATTGATGAAATTTCGTGGTATATAAATTTAATGCGGTTACAATAGCGCCATTAGGACCCAAACCGTAATTCTTCATCACTTGTTTGTATTTCACAGAATCTCTAATATCTATCAATAATAAAAACATATTAAGTACGTACTTCGTACATATTTTTTACAAAATAAAAATATTGCATAATGGATATACCTATATTTGGTGTGTATGGCATATTTTTACAAGCTGGGTCGAGATTAATCAAATACGGGGCTCTTTTGTATTGCCGTAGGTAAGAATTGAGTTTTGAAACAAATGTGGTTTTTCCTGAGCCAGCCATACCCAAGACTATGAGACAGACAGGAGATTTAAAAGCCTCATATTCAGTTTTGTCTTCAATGGCATCGCTACTGGATGGAGTTCCATCGTCGCAATCCATATTTAAAATAATTTATTATAAAACGTTAGTCTAATCTGAAAATTAAATTAGCTACAGTCTATGACATATGAATCTAATATATTCTATAACGCACACTTTAATGGTTATTGCTTAATACTAAATTATACGGTGAACGCACGTCAAACACTTCAGACTGCAAGGCCTTAATGCTTTATAGTTTATGCTCCGTAGTCCGTTGTCCGTACTCGTCAAATTCAGTTACTGTAAACAAGATATCATTTTAATGACAATAATCACGGACTAAGATATACAGGACTGGACACGAGATGAATATTGTGGTTACGAAATGTTTTACAACAGGCGGAGTTCGGGGGGATATTTTCCTTTTAGCATTACTAGCGCCGTCTTAGTGGATACTTAGGGAACTAGGAATTTGTATGATGTGTTCTAGTTCCATAAGTATCCACTAGGACGGCGCTAGTAATGCTAAAAGGAAAATATCCCCCCGAACACTGCCTGTTGTAAAACATTTCGTAGTCAACCCCCCCACACCCTCCAACCTTGTCGTGTCCAGTCCTGTATATCTTAGTCCGTGACAATAATAATCTAATCATTTGAAATGATTCTGTAGTAAAAGCACGATAAGATATTATAGTTGCGTTGCACACACAGACTTCTATACTACCACAGAACAATATAGAATAGACACTCGATCAGCTGTGAGGGTTTACGTATCCCTACGGTATGATGTATTGGACTATAAAAGTTGTACCGTATCCGTAATCTGATATAACGTTAGCAACGTGTATCCCTCTTTGTTACGGAATTTTTATAAACGATTTTATATGAATTTTCATATTTTAAGTATATCAATATTAAATTTTGGTAAAATGAATAAGGATTTTGTTTTAATATAAATTAAAAACTATAATGTAATTTTACATTGGTTTATTGTTAATGAAATAATATATTGTATTATTATTCTGTGGACTGATAATATTGATATGATTTATTTAAATGATAACATATGCCACGCCCCTTAGAGACTGTGCTCAAGGCCACAGTCACCCGATTTTGCCAATACACAGAGTGTCTATACCCTGATACTACTTCTATACTACCACAGAACAATACTACTAATATATAGAAATCTGTGGTTGCACAATAATTCACATCTATAAACGATAAACTAACCTACAAATCAATAGAAATTTTCGATTTGAAAATAGCGTTCCAAGCAGATAAAATATTCAACCATAGCATGTTCTATGACCATAGTAATACTTGCCAAGGGTGCATATAACTTTCCAGAAAAAAAACAGCCAGAATATAATTTGACAGAGTGTTTAAATACAGAAAATAAAAATACAGAATTTAAAACTACCAGAATATTAAAGTCCCAGAAAATATTGAAACAGAAAATAAAATGAACAAAAATAAATGGTAAAGAATGTAAAATGATAAGAAATTTATATCAGTAGAACGTAAAAATCCAGAAAATAATATTGCAGAAATTCCGCTGGGTGTATAATTCCAGAATGTAATATAATAGAACACGATTTTACAGAACGGTATTTCACAATAAATATTTTACCTGAAAATAATATTTTAGAAAATAGAAAGACCAGATTACCAGAACCACGTAGAACATCAGAAAGATAGGGGCATATCATGCCCGGGGGCAGATCTGATAAGAGAAATAATTTTCAAAAATATAAAAAAAATACCAGGGGGCGGGAATAATAATAAAAAAAAAGAACAAAATGACAAATTCTTAAAGCCTCGAAATTATATTGGTGTGAATTTTCTGTTTATGCCAAAGTGTAACTTGGTTATGAATATGATAATTTGCCATTTGCGTGTAGACTTGCAGTATTGGTGAAAATTTAATTTTTTTTTAATGCACCTGAATGTTAGACTGAAAGCATTCCATCCGTACTCACCACTTACCCAGGGCAGGATTGGCCCGGCGAGTTCCCGAGTAAAACTCGGTGGGCTGTTCATGAGTGTTTGGGCAATTATTTTATAAGACAATTTTAAAGACATTTATTTAACTCAGTGCGTCTCATAGAATGTAGGTCAATTTAGTAATGTTTAGTTGAAAATGAGCTTTTTAGGGCCAGTTAAAATACTTAATGTCTAAATCTCGGTGGGCTGATAGTAGGGGAGGAGTGGGGCAACTATTCGGCCCGGTAAATCTATAATAAATTGACCGGCTTTTGCATTTCGATTTAGTCATCATTCCTAATCACTTACACTTACACAATTACAATTACAATTAATTTAATAACAGGCTAGACTTGATGTGAGAAGTCATCCAGAAATGACACTCACTAAATATTAAATCTAAATTAAAATTAAAAACCAATTTAAATAAATATAAAATAAAACTTAGACAGGTATAGACTATAGACGTATAGTCGTCGTTGTATTTTGTGTTTTATCATAGGACAGCACTAGTCAATCAGATCAGATGCTAAATAATATATTTTTCAAATAAAAATGTCGACAGTTATTATTGGCAACTATTGTTTTGTATAACTGAAGTCATAGGAGCGAACATAAGACGTAGTAAAATAAAAATATTAATAAAAAAAATTATATTTAATTGTATTGAATTTTTTGAATGAATTTAAGATAATAGTGTTTATATGGTTTTATTTATACATATAAAATATACTAAAAATGCCTTCAAACTATAAAAATGTCAAAAATATGCTCTTAAAATCAATAATGAAAAAATGCAAAATAAAAATAAATTTTTTTTAATTATGCATGAAACAAATTTTTTGATTGGAAAGCTATGGTTTAGAAAATTCAGAAAAAAATGCAATTTATATTTAAGTTTGAACCCTAGTTATAAATAATAATTTCTGATGATGCATCGATGCCACGCCGAGGGGGCGGATAATCAGCCGAACCGAAATCTAAAATCTTAAATAGGTAGCTAATAATATTAGCTATATATATATCAGGCCCTGATTTACGCAAGTGCAGATGGAGCACTTGCACTTGGCCCCCAATTTTTGGGGGCCCCCGATCTCCGTGAATTGTAGAAAATTTTCTGTATTAAAATTTTTTTTTAAATTAATTATTTTTAATAAATTATAATTCCCATAGACCTTATTATACTAGTTTAAGGTTTTCTTCACCTCAATACGTCATATTAAAATAATAATAATAGAAAATTGTTCGAACATCGGAAATATTTGATACATTATAACTATTTATAGATTTCTTCCAGCCCAGTATTTACTGATTAACCGGTCGTTGGTGACGCATTTCGCTCCCACAATTACCATTTTTAGAACTATTGGTTTAGGTTATTCAGTTATCCACGGAAATGAATATCGCAAAACAAATGTTATAAATAAACTAATATATAAAAAAAAAAATTTGAATCAGTTATCGAAACTTTTGCAGAGAAAAAAGCAAGAAAGAAATCTTTTTAAACTTTTTTTGTGATAAAATGTTATAGCTAAATAAAAATATAAATATAGAAAATATAGAAATGATTTATTTTTCATTTCATTTTAATTGTATAAAATAAATTGTTAAATTAACAAGTTATTTACCATTTTTATAATTTTATGGAAGATTGATAATTAATTATGTTATTTAATTAGTATTATCTTTTCAATGTCCTTAATTTACCAGACCAAGTAACTAAATTGTATTTATAGTATATGAAATAATGTACAAATATTTTATGAATTTTGAGATATATATATTTAATACTTAACATATAAATATTTTGTTTTATTATCAATATTTCCTCCTACTCTCTGTATAGATTTTTTCTAGAACATTTTTTTGACTTGTGGTGGTGGCCGGTGTGGGTAGGGGGTAGGGGGCCCCCAAAAAAATTATGCACTTGGCCCAAATTTTATTAAATCAGGGCCTGATATATATAGCTAGTTATAACTATATAACCTAACCTTTATAATATATTATATAAACAATTTTTCACACTCACCCGTTATAATATGAAAATACAAAATATTTATAATTTATATTTATACCTACTGATTTTATTATGAATATATAATAATAACAAATTATTTTTGAGCAGCGGCTTACCGGGAAAGTTTCCGGTCGCCTGATAAGTAACCTTCCCTATCTAGCGCTGGACCTACCTTAAAAATATGTACCAAGGTACCTTAGAGCTTAAAATTATTAGGCTCAATAGTGTTGTGGTAGGTAATATAGGTATACTCAAACTCAACACTTGTGTTATAACTTATAACTATATTAAATATAATAATATTAATTATTCAACTAAAATAAGTCACCTTGAAAAAAAAAGTTTTTGATTATAGGTTCTAAGGTTTAAACTTTTTTAGTGAAAGTGAACTGTTTAATTAGTTGAACTACTTTTTTTATAAGTAATATTTTCATAACTATATACTGATAATAATAATAATTTATTTGAAAGGAATAAAACGGGCAACTGCCCAATAGTACAGGTAGGTAGTTAGAATTTAGATTATAATAATACGTTAAATGTTAAACAAAATAAATAAACTGAGGTAAACATAAAATTAATTAGAATAAGAATATAAACCAAGATTAAATTAAATAAGATCTGATATTACATAATATTATTAAAATAATATATTGTATGAATCATGCTTAATGGAGAAAAGAAGAAATCGACATCTGTAGAAAGTTTGTTACACGTGGACATGGCTCTTGGGCTCTAGGGATTGGAGAATACTTTAAATAGTTTGTGTTGTGTGATTGTAAATAGAACATGGAGCCCATGGAGGTAGAACGGTTATTATAAGCTGGAATGTTGAACGCTGTTAAATGTTGAATTAACATTATAATAGATAAGGAGCATCATAGGTGCAAATTGAGGGGGGCTTGGGGGGAGTGCTTAGCCCCCAAAATCTAGGACATTTTAAAATGCTATATTGTAAGGGTCTGCTAGCTTTTAATATATTCAGCCCCCCCAATTCAAAAATTGAAATTGCGCCATGGAGCATCAATTTTGTTATTGATTAATTTATAAATAAAAGTAAAATTTGCTAGCTCATGTCTAGTAGAGCTTGAGTTGTGAGGTTTAGAAAGGATCTTACCGGTGTCATGGCTTAATACATATATAAGGTTATTGACCGGTGTAAATTCATGCTGGTAGGTATATAGTTATATTGAATTTGAAAGCTATTAACTTTAAAAAACGATTTTGAACTCGTTCAATATACCTACCTACTGAATATTAGATTTAGTGTAAGGACTAAGGTCCAAATGGTTCATCCATATTCTAGAATTGATCTAATTAACGTTGAGTAGAGTACCTAGTTAAAGACTCAAAATCTTTAAAATTGGATGACTGGCGTTTTGCAAAGCCTAATACACGTAGTGATTTTTACCACACATTCAACTTCGACATGGTCTTAGAAATTAAGATTGTGGGTTAGGATTATACCTAGGTATTTTATGTATGAAACTGAATTGAGTTTATTATCAGTTATGCAATAAGTAAATATTGTATAATATGCTCAGTGTCTACCAGTAAAAACACATTGAATAGCAGTTATTAGCATTTTACCAACTAGACAAAATATTTAATTCCTCTTAGAGAGATAAACAGTTGTTGATTGAAAAAATACAAGCTACATTTTTAAATCGTCTGCAAAAAATAGGAAGCGGGATTTTTCCAAAATAGATGAGATACCGTTATTAAATAAGATTAATAGGATAGGAGATAAATGCCCACCTTAGAGAGTTCCCGGTAGGACTAATGTTGACTTTGATACAAAACCAATAAGAACCTTAATACAATTGGTTCCTGTTTATAGAGTATGCATTTAACCAAGACAGTTGTAGAGGATTACTAAAACCTAAATGAGCTGAAGCTAACTTATGATCTACTCGGTCGAATGCTTTAATATGTATTAAGTATTATATTATGTGTGTTTAGACTTAACCTTACTTAACAATAAATATAATTATACCTAAGGTTTAATTCTTGTTTTATTTCTTGCAAAAACCACAATGGTCAAAAAATAAAGTTTTATCCTTAATTATTTTAATTATCAAGTTATTTTATTATAATATGAAAACAACCGGTCATTGAGTGTTAACCTGTATTTGTGTTTATTAACACAATAATTGTACTATAATATAAAATATAAATGTTTTATTATAATTTTATAAATTAGCATTTACAATCTTTGTAAAGAAAATTTTATATAATTTTTTTTTGGCCTGGTACATGTTTAATATTTTGTGGGCGCCCTTGGTTTGACTATTCTTGAGGTAAACTATTAAAATTTAAACACAAAATATTTAAAACAGTTATCATAATAATTAAACAAATTAAATAATTACTTTTGTAGCATAATTATATCAGTTCTACATAGCGGACAACCTCTTCTACCTTCCCGCAACCACCTCTCAATACATACTCTACAGAAATGGTGCTGGCAAGGTACTACTGTAGTAGTAGTAATTCCGCTGTAGCAAATTATGCATAGTTCAAGAACTGAAAAGAATGCTTTAAGTTAAAAAATATTTACAAAAATGCCATACCTATGCAATGAAAATTAATTTAATATATCATACTTTCATTTTCTTGTTGCGGCTCTACTTCATTTTCAACTTCTGCATAAAAAGCTTGGACTATATTAAATTGCCTTCCGTTTCTCTCACGTCCATCTACTCTTGGTGTCTGGTTTCTATGTCTGCCATTATCTACACATAAATTATGATGATTATTTGTTTATTGTTATACATTGTTTGAATGAGTTCAGAATATTTCTAAATTAAGTGAATTTAGATAAGTAACATTACAATATTAAACTAATAGAACTAAGGTTTTCATAGACATATGCACAATATTATACCTCTAACTTTGGGTTTGCTAAAATTATGGACACACAACCTACACCCCTACAATGCCCTGTACACAACTGTCATTACTATACACAAAAAATAGTAAAACAATTAATATTTGTACTAACATTTTTATATAAATGTTTAACATTACTGTAATAAAATATAAAGTAATCAGTTAATACTATAAAAAAAATGTATTGTGTTGTTTGGCGCCAAAGATCCTATAGCTCCCTTTATTGCTCCTATGCATACACAATAAAGACATAATTGAACATATTTAAAGTATTACCTTTTTAATGAAAATACTATTTAAATTTTTAAATTATATTAATTATGATTTTTTTTAGTTATATTTACTACCTTGTAGATGGTAAGGATGGCCAACTGGTTCTAACAGCTGCAGTATTTCAGCTGCATCTGTCGGTGCAATAACTGGCAATAAATTAGCTACTGGAACTGGTGCAACAACTTGTGCTGAATCTGCAGCTACTGGTACTGGTGCAACAACTTCTGCTGAATCTGCATCTACTGGTACTAGTACAACAACTTCTGCTGAATCTGCAGCTACTGGTACTGGTACAACAACTTCTGCTGAATCTGCAGCTACTGGTACTGGTACAACAACTTCTGCTGAATCTTCAGCTACTGGTACTGGTACAACAACTTCTGCTGAATCTGCAGCTACTGGTACTGGTACAACAACTTCTGCTGAATCTGCAGCTACTGGTACTGGTGCAATAACTGGGAATAGATCAGCACCTACCGGTACTAGTGCAACAACTGGCACCAAATCTGCAGCTCCTGGTATTGGGGCTGCTGGTTGAACAACTATTGGCGGTTCATTATCTACATGCAGTGCCCAATTTCGTTGCTGTTGTTCATATGTTGTTGTAGCATGCGACATTCTTTGAAGAAACTGCCACATAGATATCAGCCCTAGAGTATATTGTTGGCAAGCGTGTTGGATTGAATTTAAATGTCTATAATTTATTCGGTGGTTGCTTGTTGGCCTTAAATTATTATTTATCTGAGCCATAATAGTGTGGAAGTTCATACTCAAGTGAGATAGGTGATCTGTAATATAAACATTAATCCAATATTATCGGTAGCAGTTGGTAATAATTGAATAACTTAAAAAAAAATATATATATATATGTTTACCTAAAAATATCCATAAGTTAGGGTGAGTGACATTAAATTTGTTCCGCAAAGTATTATGGAAACTTTCGAGACTATTATTTGTTCGTCTTGGTAAACCATTAACTGAAATAATGTTTGATCCAACTTGTCTGAGCCAATAGCTAAAAATAGGTATTTAATTGATTAGTAGCAATAATTTATTATAATCTACTATATATGATTTTTATAAGTTTCAACATATTAATAATTTAAATATTCTTACTTATCATAGTAATCAAATAAACTTGACATTGGTATTCCGTGATTCACAGCAAACATTCTTACCATATCAAATGCTCGCTGTATATCACCAGATGGTAACAATGGTAATGCAAATAGCATCCTTAGAGCTTTTGAAGCAAATTCATTTGTGTTTATTAATTGTAAAAATCCTCTTTTTTTCATATTTCGCCAAACTGCCTTTAAATGATTTATTTTTAAATTAGTAAACTAGGTATATGTTTTTTTTTTTGTCATTAGTAATTACTATTTTATTTCATTATAACTTTATTAATGAACTCACTTGGTTGTGGTGGAACCAACACCCGGTGATTCGTGCAGTTGGAAATATAAATGTGAGAGTATCTCTCAGGGCAGTTTCATAATCCGTTATTATAATGGATGGATTGAGGTTGGCCAGCAAATTTGTCTTTAAAAAGTTGAAAACGCAGTTGTACGTATTTCTCGTTTTACATTCCATGAGACAGTAAACTATAGGTATAGACTAAACAAAAATACATATATCAAGTTTTACTGTCTTTTAGTACCTATATAATGGATAATGTTATACCTACTTTATGGTTAGGTATCATATTATGGTATATTTTACACAAGGATAACTTAAGCATAATATGTAGCTATTAACTATATTGATAAATAATATTAGTCAGAATATAATGAAATCAAGATTTAGAACATTTACTTTGCAATAATATTATTAGAAATAAAAAGTTTCAGAATAATTGTAATTCATGTTTTAACTAATTTCTTATTTTTCAGTTAACTAGTAATTTTGGTTATAAAATATGAAATTTGATTAATATTAAAATATCAAAATTATACATACATAATTGTCAATCATACAATGGATAGTCAACAACTGACTTCCCATGTTTGAAGGCACAACCTTAAAAGTCGCATCTACATGCACTTCGTCAATATTGTTAGCCAAAACTAATTGTAGTAGGGCGGTGCATGAAAAAATCATGCATGCTCGGCCATCAACATCTTGCACACAACCCTTAAACATGATTTCACCACAGCAAGAGTAACGATGCAAACGTCCTTCATCAAAGATAGTAGCCAAATCAGCCAGAGAATGGGGCAGAGATGGCAGCGACGATCTTCTGGCTAGTCGCATAATACTTTCAGCAGTTGAATATGGATACAGGCTAGAAGCTTCAGGATTTCTATGAAAACAAAAAATAGTGTTCACAAAGATTTCTTAGAATCTTTTAAATTTCGATGTTTGTTTATAAAATGTAATTAAATGTTATTAAAATGTATTTATCTGTTTTTATAAGGAAAAATACAAGGGTATTAATAATTTATTTTTACATTTGAAAACGTATTAGATGAATGAATAATTAAATAATCTTTTAACGTTTTACATAGGTAAAACACTAAGGGCCGATTTCACCAACGCAGTTAATCATGATTAAAGTTAACCGGAGTTTTAATCGGCCGAATTTGGCCGGTTAAATATCTGTTATCAGCCGATTAAGCGTTAACCGTGATTAACTGTGTTGGTGAAATCGGCCCTAAGTAAAATTATGGGTAACAGACCTACAAAGAACCAATTTAAAACAGACAGCTTTGGTCACTGCAGAATATCCACTATTTGTCGTTATAATGGTATAATTATATCTATTACCTACTAATCTTTAAGTATTTTAATCTTATTGTATGTACCACTATTATATAGTTATATATTGTTAGCTTCATTTTATGCACACTGTATTCTTACTTTCTTAAAGTTATATATAATTCTGTACCTATCATTACCCTTCGAGGGTGTTACATAATAATAATAATATTTGTATTTAATATTATACTGATTTAAATGAACTAATAAGGTTTAATCACATTTACAATACACACAAAAATAATAAAAATATAATATTTATAACGAGACTCCAGGCCGACGGACCGCAGCGCCGGGCCGTGAAGTAGTCAACCACCAGCTCAAGACAACGCCTTAAGCAACCATCTTTAAATGTTAGTTCCCCGAGTAACACTCCCTGACAGCCGCATACTACACTAGCAACCGCTAAGGAAGGGCTGCCAGGTCGTGGGAGCGCGTCCAAGGGCGCAGTTATTGTATTTAATTTGTTTGATGTGCAATAAACGATGGGGGCCGGAGAAGAAGCAATGTGAGCAACAGTTCCTTCTCCGGCTCTCGATTAAACCGAAAAAAAAAAAAAAACACACAAAAATAATAAAAATATAATATTTATAACTAATAAGTTTATTACCGAATTTGGTAAGAAAAATCCTTTTAAAATTTGTATTCCCTTTTGTAACAATTTAGTAATTGATATTAAGAATTTCCCTGATTTTAGATTATTTAAGAATCATGTTATACATAAGATATGTCCTTGAATATAATAATTTAAATATAGTATTTTACCAATATAATTATATTGTACTTTAATATTAAACTTTATATATTATTATATATTATATTATATTTGAATATTTCATTGTAGATTTTAATACTATACTATACTATAGTAGACTGTCTACTTATTATTTATTCATGTTATATTAATTAAACCTTTTTATATTTATATATTACTTTTGTTTCTTCTTTAATCTTTATATATATATTAGCTAACTTAATTTAGAACTCCTGTTTCCTACTCAAGCTATGTTTTTGGAAACAATAAATTGCTATTACTATACCTAAGTATAAATATATTTAATTATTAAATTAAGAGTTAAGTTAACTGTGTCAAGCTTTATTTTGAAAATAAACTTTTTGTGACCTCCTATTTTAATGTTTTTATACATATGATTTTAGTGTTTAGTCCCATATGCTTATTCATAAAAGTTATAGGTGGGTAGACTGAAAAAGTATTTCTAGTTTAGGTGCTTTTTGTACCGTTAGTGTTACAAAATTATGTACTTACCTTCTAGCTTCTTCGTCATAAATATGCTTCAATGTCAAATTTTCTGATGAAGCCCTTCTTTTAAGAACTTCCCTCAATGCTCTAACCAATGCCTCATTAGGATTATGGGCTTGGTGGCCATTATGTGGTTTAATAGTAATAAATGTGCCATCCGCCAACTTTTTCAATGATCCTGAACAAAAATTCCCTCCACGTCTTGCACATCTGTAATATCTATAATAATAAAAATAAACAATTAGTAATTAGTAATCAGTAATCTAAGTAATAATGGGGATTAGCTATAGGTATATAAAAAATTTAACTCAATTTTAGACCCTGAACACAATATTATTAAATTTACAAAAGTATGAAACATGGAGAAGTCTAATTACATTACATTACATAGCTACATTCTACTTCCAACTACAAACCCATTTTGATATTGCAATTGGAATTATAAGTTGTAAATTGATATAATAATTAGTTATTAGTTTAAGCAACTTATTTCTAGTTATTAATGTTGAATATTCACAAAAAAATATTCTTAGACTTATACACAGATAGACGGATATTTAAAATACCTACATATTAAGTCAGTTGAGTAATTATTATAACTTTGTAGCAAATTAGCAATAGGCATAAGCGTTCACACAGGGTAGTCATGAATCATGATAGGCACTTGACTACTCTGCGTACTATATTCATTATTACTATGATACCTAATCAATAATTTTATTTTTATTTATAATATACTTTTTTACTATGGTAAATATACTCAAATAAGGTTAACCCATACAAATTAATTGTTATAACTTAGGCAGTTAGGCATGAATACTGAATAAGAATGTAATATAATATACGTATGTGTGTGTTTTAATGTGTTATAATATTTAATAATTGTATATTACTACCCTGCCAAAAATGTCCGAGCACACTTATAAAAATAAGTAGTAGGTACCCATCTATATAAGGGTATAAGGATATAATATGCGCAAAGGCAAACGATTAATGTCTATTAAAATTTTCTAATTTATATGCAATGTAAAGCTTTTAAATATACTCACGTTATTCCTTTTTTGGTACCTAAATTATCATACGTATAAATACCGTGCTTCATACTTGTGAATAACAAAAATAAGACTCCCGAAATCGTCAGTATAAGCACAGAACTTATAAGATCGTAAAAATGTAAAATTGAATGAAAAACGTGTGCACTGTTGAGTGTTCGTCGACCTGTCGTTGACGAGGTTCGAGGATGTATGGTATATTGGTATTTGTATGTATCGCTGTGACGCGGTTTAAAATATTAATCATTGACGATTCCTAAATTTAGATGTTTGTTATCAATAAACAAGGGTATTTGTTTTATTTACGTAATTTCCTGGAAAATATTGGAATTATTTATGTTCCTATTGTATATTATATTCAAATAGAGTTACAGTAATAGGCATTAATACTATTAATAGTCTATATTATCAAAACTTTTATTAAAATTACCCATGGCCAGTCTTGTAAAGTATTCGAATAAATGTATTCGAATAAAAGTATTTGAATACTCTTTTTGTATTCGAATACTATTCTAAATACTTTTTTTTTAAAGTATTCGAATACGTATTCTGAATACTTTTATTTGTATTTTTTATTCATTAAAAAAATACTTTTTCCGATCCAGTAAAATAGTTTTAAATTTGTGACAAGGCATCTTATAAATCATGAACATTAATTTTATTCTTTGAAAGAAATATAATTTTGGCCCATGATATGATTATTTTTATAAATAAAAATGTGTTTTATCACGTATAGTTCGTATCGGCCGTATCATATGTGGTCAAAATTTATAAATAGCTTATGATTACAAAGTAATTTTAATCATTAATTAATAAATGTTAATTAGTAATTACCAACCATTCAAAAACTGACAACAATTATTTGTGAAAAAAAGTATTCTAATAGTATTCGAATACTTTTTAAAGTATTCGAATATGTATTCTGAATATATTTTTTAAGAACTATTCGAATACGTATTCTGAATACCTTAATTCTCATTTATTCGAATATGTATTCCGAATACAAAATAAAAGTATTCTTTACAAGACTGCCCATGGCTTAAGATAGAATCTTTAATCGTAAAATTACCTAATGGCTAATACACCAAACAAATCGAAAGAATAAGATATCGAAGTTGATGTTTGAATTTAAACTAAACATTTCATATCACATTCAGTCTTTAAAAATTAAAAATGTACAGCTTAAGTATAGTTACATGTACTTTAACATTTAATATATTATGAAATATGAAATAAAAATTGGGAACACTTCAAAATCAGGAACAAAAAAGATCAGGACAAGGGACTACTACCTACTATGGCTTATAATTTATTTGCCTTGTGGTTCACAATCGGAAAATCCCCATTATCATTATATTCAAATAATATTGTTTTATCTACAAAGAGCTAAATTCGATTTTTTCAGTAGGCAAAAAAAATAAAAACCACAGTGAGCAATATTTTACCTTAAATTGTTTTTACAATTTATATTATATTTTAATAAACTTAACTCATTTTAAAATGGCATAGGAATCACTTGTTGTATATTTGTTTTATCCATTATCCTTAACAAATTGTTGTACAATAGTTTTATATTTATTATTTTAAATAAATAAATAATTAAATGTAATGAATACCATGTTATGTGTAAGTTTATTTTACTCAGTTGCCTATTTTATATAGGTACCTAACTTGTAAAGTATTATGTAGTTTAAAAGAAAAATCAACGTTTTATGTGATACATTCAAATTAATATACCTAGGTATTTGAAAAAAAAGCAGTAGGTACTTTCAATCCATTGTTGTTCATACATCATACAGCTTAAGCTTGCATTGACTATTTTTATAGTGACATTTACAGTGGGGTTTGTTCCATGGTTTTTATACCTCTGATTGTATATTTCAATATTTGTATGAAAGCCGAAAGGTCTACTTATAATAAATTATTACTGTAGGTACCTAGGTACTTTAAAAATATTTTAGTATAAGCCAAAAGGTGATGATAAGTGCAATTAAGTGATCAGAAAATAAAAACTAAAGTTTCAACTTGAAAGTAATTAAGTAAAATAGTAAGTGATGACTAGAGTCCTAAAAATAAAATAAACTAATTTCTAAAGTAGATATAAAATCAATTAATTACACACGAGCAATGAGTTGATAACATTATTGAATTATTGTTTCATCAGACATTTTATTATTTGTTGGTACATCATAGTAGAGCATATTTTATTTAGAAAATGGTTATTTAAGTAAGTAAGCAATTAAGCAAAATGTATCAAAATGTTAAACCACACAAATCTCAAATAAATGTATATTTTATTTTGTCTTTACGATTAGGTACGACTATGATTATTGGCTATTTTACCTAACACTATAGTAAAAGACTGGTAAAAAGGTTTTTGCACTATAAGTAGTAATTAATTACCTATGTAGATACGTTATTATTGATTTTAATTATATTTTTCAAATTGAATTAATCATAAGAGCCTAATTCCATTTCCTAAAGAGAAGAACTGACTTCTTGATGCCCTTAATATTATCAATTTATCAATCAACTATTGTTGTGACGGCATTTTTGCCTTTATCTTAAACCGTGGTACCTACCTAACTAATATCATGATTCATGATAAATTAGATGTGTATATTGAATGTACTCAGTGGCGTATTTACGGGGGGGGGTCCATGGGGTCCGGACCCCTCCCATTGACTCGTGTCTCTTACATGTTAAATGTTGTGCAGTTTTTACATGATTAAAAAACAAATTTTATCATACGATTTTAAGGATTGTATAAAAAATTTTCGAAGCTATAGTTATATCAACATTTTCAATAAATATCGTGAATATTTTTATAAGTTGTGTACCGAAAATGGTTGAAAAATACCAAATTCATTTTTTAATTCAAATATTTTGTAGTTTTGTACATTGCCAGTATCTACAACCACTCCAGAGAGATCTTTTTCAAACTTTTTAAGATTGAAAAGCTATCTAAGATCAACTATGAATGAAGTAGGTACCTAATGTAATTAAGGAAATATTTGTATAAAAGTTATAACATATAACTATATATTCGATTCTGAGGGATCTATTGGTTCTACAATAGTGTTTATTTTTTTTTCCTGTATACAAAAATGTCTTCCAGAAGGAGTGCTTCGATTTCAACATGTATAGACATATAGTAACTTATCTTTTAGAAAATTGGATCAAGATAGTACTTTAGAGAGGTCATTTTTCGATTTTCTCAATAGTTATTTAATGCCACTGTAAAAACCACCAAAAAATTACTAAAAGCCGCTAAAAATGGGATTTTAATTTCCAACACTTTGTCTATCACCATAGAAAAAAAATAAAAAATAAAAGTATTTCATTATTAATTCAACTTAGGTACAGTACTACAGTCTATAATAAATAATAACAATATAAAATATCCAGACTGACAAACCGTCTTCGCTCAGAATCATTTTTCTTATACAATGATATTATGATATTATATCATTGAGTTCAAGTTTAATACAATCCATTGACCCACTTGTAACCTACTGTACAGCAGCAGAGTGACATCCAATCACCCGCTTTTTTTTAAATTTGTTTTGTACATATTATTATTTAATAATTAAAAACTCGACAATTTTATATCGTCTTAAATATTTTATTTAATAAAGAGTAAATGGGTAGTGTGGGGGGCTTCGTCCCGCGTGGCTCTGTGTTCTTTAAAATTATCTGGACCCTCCCCATGACAACAGGAACGGATACCTGGAATGAATTCCTTTTTATAAAACAAGGAGAAAATGAACGAGTTCTTTTTTTTACAAGGAAAAATAACAAAATGTTTCGTTCCTTTCTAGTTCCAATAATTTACACAGATATATATATTTTTTTAATGTGTATAATAATATATATTGTCAATGAATGATCGTTATCGAGTATCGACGTTAATCGTTACTCATTAGTCATTAATCACTTTATTAATATTTCTAAAAGTTATGAGTTATAATTTATATAGAAATAAGTACCTATATAAAATATAATTATTATTAAACAATAAACGATAAGACATACGTCGGCCAACAATTTAACTTTGAAGAAAATCTCGTACTAGAATTATAAAATATGTAGGTACCTACCTACTTGTAGGTATATATTATAATTACAATTTAAAGAAGTATGCATATGAAAAAAAAACATTAATGATTAAATAAGATTTTTTATTTTATTCGGAACTAAAAAAGGAGCTCGTTCATTTTCCAGAGGAACGACAAAGGAACGAATTATTTTTTTTATTTTAAGGAACAATTGGAACGGTACGAATTCCTTTTTATAAGGAACTTGCCAAACACTGTGTATTATAATTTATAAATAATATAACTGAGCCTACATTTTTGAATGCCAAATGGCAAATGCAGGTCTGTAGTCTGTACCTACAACCTACATCGCTCGCTGCCGGGCTTATTCCAATGTGTTTTTATTTAATCTCAATAATTACTTATAAATATTAGTAATTAGTAATATCAGTAATTTTTAATGTATCAAACAAGAGGTTTATATTGTAAAATATAAAATACAAATTGTAATAATAACAGCAATAAATAATTTATTATAATATGTCACTGTCGAATACTCGAATATAATAACATATACGGCCGTCTTTTGTACCATAAATAGTAGGTTATTATATTATATTTAATCAAACTATGTAGGTATAACAATATAATCCTATCATAGTGTCATATCATAAATATTGTTATTACTTATAATTGTGAAAAAATGTGCAACAAATAACAATAATAATAAATGTTTTACCTATACTGGTACCTACTTTTGTTTTTTTCTCCGCGATAATTACAACATGTCCATAAGCGGGAATGTTCCGCTCACGGCGCTCAGAGGACACTGCTTTTACCGTAATGCACATCATAGGCGGAGATCCTGTGAAATATTGGGGGGGGGGGCTCAAATAGTTGGTAGCAAACAAACCCGTGGGGGCAAAGCCCCCACACCCCTAAACCCCCAACACTTTTTTTTATATTTAATAACTCATTAAAATAATTAAAGATATGAAGAATTAAAACCACGT